TTCTGCACATTCGCAGTTTACCTCAACATTTTTACGATTCTGCTAATTCATTCATAAGAAGCAATCGCGGTAAACCGCCTGCGGTCACCGTAAGCATCTGCGTGTACAACCATTTTTTTTTGTTTATTACGTGCCAAATGGGATTGTTCTAACATGGACGTCACACCGTCAACCGTCGTGGTTGACTTCTTTGACGGATGAAATAAATTTTCCTGGTTACTCTTCTTCATCCACTTCCATCACTTCTTTAATCCAGCATAGTAATATAAAACTAAACCGATTCCCTTTTAAGCTAGAAAGGTTTATAAAATACTTTCATTTATTGTATACTTTTTAGTTTATTTAATGCACCTAAGTAGAGATAACCTGCAAATTTCTTTTCTAAATTCTGCATTTATTCTATCCAAGAAGGGTCTCGTGAGTCATACATGCGCGTACGCGAAAGCGTATTATAAAATAAGCGTGTGCTATACGTAAATACACACACACACGTAGGCCAATGATATTGCTATTGATTACATTCGTTACCGGTCGGTGAGCAGTGAAAGTGACTATCGCCATCGCCCGCTACGATGCCGTCCTGTGTAGTTCGCGGTGGCACGGTCAGTTACCTCTCTCTTGATTGCGCTTCTCCGTTTCAGTCTTTCAGTTTGTTTCTGTTCCGCTGACGATGCCCGGTAAGGTACATGACATATACAGTCAAGAGCACATGTAGCGACCTGGAGACTTGTAACTTCCAGGTCACACAAAATCACTTTGGTCTAAATTCAATTTTCTATACACGAAAAATGTTCAGTTATTTTATGAAGTGAGTCGAACTGTTTTTGCAGATGACCTATTATTGGGATCTTACAACCTTTATTGTATTAGATTCGGCTGAATTAATTGCTAAGTTGTTGGTAATTGTTGACGTCTAATCCACTGATCACAAGGAGGTTTACGAGAATGGACTCCATTTCGGCAAGTCATGACCAAAACTTTGACTTTCTAGTAATGGAACAACACACATAACACAGAGAGAGAGATAAAGTAAAAATTATTAAAACATAAAAGTTCATGAAACATGATGATTTAGAGCTAGATTGGAACTTTATGACTCCATACTTTAATATATTTTTTTGAGGCAATTCAATACCTATTATAAAGGTACGAGATCTTCCTAAACTAAAAAAAATGGTACCTAGGCAAAAATGTTTTGAGGCCACTCATTTACACCATCGCCCACCAGCCCGAATCTTTATTCTACATTCCGGTCATGAAAGCCTATATTTATATACAATTCAGAATTGTTCTTATATTGAACTGCTTATAAACAAGACAAACGCACTGCAATTTTCTACTTAATAAGAGTGATTTGATTCAAGTGAAGTATGCACATGTGATGAAATTGAAGCAAGCAAGCACTTGGTAGAAGATTGTTCTGTCTTTTTCTATTTTTCGACCAATTCTAAAATTGAAAGTCTCGTTATCACAAGAGATCGAAATTTTATATGAACTTTGGAGACGTGTAAACAGCCAAACTCAGGATTGCGCAACTGGTACATAACCAATGCGTTCTCTTCAATGTTTGGAAGGTTGGAGTTGAATGAACTATTAGCCAATTTTAAAAAATTGTAGTAACAATGAATTAAATATAACATATTTTTATAGTAGAAATAGCAATCTGTTTTTGTTAGTCTTCAAATGCTTTGTAGCATGATCAACTACAATTGTTCTGCTGAAGAAACCCAATGACATTGTTAGTTGCTAATAGTGGTTAATGTACAATGTTAATTTGAAATCATTTTTTGATTTTTTATCCACTGCTGTTGTCACACCCCCTTTTTCCTCATTAATCTGAGGAAGTTTGTAGTGGATAAAAAATCAAAAAATTATTTCAAATTAACAAAATAGAAGAGTTAGTTTTACTGTAATACGCTTCTTAATTAACAAAATACTTCTTAATAAATATTACTGCAAAGCCAAGAGTGAAATTAACTACAATAAGATGTAGATCTGTGGGAACATTTTTTTTTTGTTAATTTGATTGCACATTTTTTACAGTGTAATCTAATCTAACATACTTGATCAGTAAAAATTTTTTTGGAGTGATTTTTGTCTGGAGCCGCAATTCACCAATTTTTAATTTTCCACAAAACAAAAATCACAAAAGAAATTTTTATTATCTACGTTAGATTAGGTTAAATTAGGTTATGGGTTGGTTACCATACTTTAGCTTCTTTGTTAACATTTAACTGCATTGGTTATGTATAATTATTAGGTTTGACCGTTTACACGCTTCCAAATTCCGTACATTTCCAGCTTTGGTTGTAATCTTAAAATTAGTCAAAAAATACGATCAGTGTCCGTTTTCAGACTTTCCGCCAAACATCCATAGAGGTCCATCTGATTTTTAAAAAAAGGAAACGGCCACATAAGTACAAATGTAAAAATAAATTCTGTAATATCCTTGTCGTACTTGCTAGAGGATATATAATAGAAATTGTCAAAGGTCAACTAATTTCGTACTAGGGAGATGTCATTTCTGTTGAGTTAGTGCTTATTAGAAAATGAGTACGTTGACCTGATACGCATATAAAACGGAAACGAGAAAATTTCCACGCCAACAAGATGTTTCTAATAATTTTGAGAGGCATGAAGGATTTGTGTTTTAAATACAATGCGTACATATGTACCTGCGATAAAGTAGCTACTCACAGTTCGTCTATGAATGCAAGGCCGACCGTTTACTAAAACTGCCTGTCGTATTACTAGACATGACTTGAATTTTAACCAAAAAACAAAAAAAAAAGTAAAGAGAGCTGTCGTCGCGCTCGACGGTCGCACCAAACTAACTGTTTCGATTCGGTTGTTAAAACGCGGCCTTGGAGCGCAATGAATTTCAATGGAATAAAAGTTTCGAGCAAATGGCATCAATGAATGGGAGATCGTTTTGCATACGGTACGTTTACGTATCTACTTAAGGAGCGCATCGGGTGGCCTTGGTTGTTACGTTGTCGAGGCCGTTCATAATGTACGCGAACATACACGCATGCATTATGTATGTGTTCCTTGTATAAGTACGTATATAAACACAAAATGTGTGTAATACCCACGAAGACAGATCGCAACGCCGAAATGAGAATTGTCATCGGTGAACGCATTTGCATGAGACCGAAAAATACATTGACCAAGTGAACTCGTTCGTTTCCTTATTAATGACATTTTGAGGTTTAGTTTCCATATATTGTAACTGACATCCTATTATACTTGGCGATGTATCAATGTAAGAAATAGGAATCCTTGATTTCTTGTCGTTATAATAATTTTTAGAAAATGCTAGCAATGCCCTGTGGACCGATTAAATTAAGTTCATATTTTTTTTTTGAGGTTTACTCAGGGAGGGAAGGATAAATGGGGCAACTGTCACATCGGTAAATTAAATTGTAACTCAGTTTTGTTAATACATAAATTGATGTTATAAAATATAATATGAAAGTCAATCATTTTTGGACAGATTTGCGGAATTTCCAAAGCCCCTAGTTTTCACCTGAACATTATTTTCATAATTTTAGTGTTTCAGTTTTATAAAAAATTATTAATAATTAAAAGAATATAGTTAAATAAAAAGTCGAATGTAAATTTTCTATGAAGTAAAATTCTGGTTACTTACGTGAATCTGTTTGAAGTGAAGATGTGAATCCAATCTGTCTTAAGACTGACGATAATATACGCCTTATTGTACTTATCTGTAGTAGTTTAACGAAATGTAGTTAAAGATCGTGAAAATTTTCTAAAGTTATATAATATTATCCTGCTTATAATGGATTTTTATTAAGTTAAGGTGGAAACTATTTAATGTTAGAACATGTAAGAGATCTTCACACCGAGTGCCATGGTATAGAAGTTTAAACCATTGCTTAGCATTCATGAGGACGCCGGTTCGATTCCGGGTCCGTCTGCCTTAGTCCAAGTTTTTCTGTGGTTTCCTTAGATCACTTAGGTCAATGCTGGGGCAGTAATATTTCACAAATAATCTTTCCTTCTCTGCTGTCTTCATTTCGTCTGTCTCATCTTTCTCACCCGAACCACCACCACGATTCCTGAAAGGAGACTGAAGAGGCCTTCCGCCCTATCTTCTGACGCAGTTCGGGGGGACTTCCCGCCTTCCAGTGTTAGTGACTGGTGGGAATTAAAACACCCAAAAGTTTTTAAGCTTTTTTAGAGACCTTCGGGTGGTACAAACGCTTCAAAGTTGCCTGCTAGAAAATGCTTACATGTGCTCCTTCTAAGAAAATGGACGGGGTAGCAAGGGGGTGGATTCCTAGTGAAATTGTATCTGTGTAATGTACATATCTCAGCTCTCTAACTTTAGTGCTTATGAAAAACAGGAACACACATGTTACTGCACGAATCCGCGCTTGACATAGACACCACTGTGTTCTTCACAGAATTCCATCAAAGAAAAGACCATTAACTCTTTATTTTAATATTCAAACTATTTTATCATGTTTCCTCCTATTTGTATCTTCATTTATCCAAAAACGAGAGTGTGTTACATGTTATTTTTCGTACCACGTAGGCACTACCTAGTCTTTAGAGACTGATTTTAGTTTTTTTTTGCTATTTTTGTCATGTTAGGTTACTTAATAGATTATTGTTATGCATATGTAGTTTTTATTTTTTTTTAATGAAAATCTGCTCTAAAAAATTGATACAGATCTTTGCGCTGCCGAAAAATATTTCAGTCCTGCTAGAAGGAGAGATCCTGCAAGAATCTTTCAGCAGGACAGTCGCGGTGGCCATCTATGTCCTACTGAAAGCTTCCGACAGGACACATAAGTGAACATTTTATCATTAACTCGAAGTGTTCTGCAGTTTTGTAAATCTCGAGGACAAACCGCCATTGGAGTATAGGGTCATACTTTTTAGGAACATATTTTTTTATAACAAATAACACGGTTGATTTAATGATAATATTTCGTTTATTAAGTAACGAAAATTCGAAACAGTGTAAAATTAATAAGTTGCTCGGTTGTTTATTTTACTTGTCATTAGACATAAGTAGGTATATCACAGGATTTACGCATCGTAGTCCTTCAAAATACATACGTAAGCTATTTGTTCACCTCTGACAAATAGCTGGTCGAGTTGCCTGCGACATGTCTCGAGTTTCTTTTCAGTCTTGAGTACCGTTACTTTGGGAAAACAACGATCACTGTTGTCCACATCCACGGGTGGTTTGTCGGCATTAATCGTTCCTGCAACACACAAAGACGGTCTAGTTATACTATTTTCGATGCGGTCACGATGCACTTTCAATTTTCTATTCCAATGGTCGCATATAAAGGTATAACTATTATAAACGGCAGGAAACTGACTGTAAAACAAGTATGTAGCATGATTTTGATGTCAGACGATCCGTAAAAACATAAACATTTGATTTGGTTAAAGAGACATCTTTATATGCACTCTGTAGTTCAACAAAAAAAGTACTCGATAATGTTCAAGTTAATAATTTCATAACGTACGTATGTCGCATGGCAATATGTCGTGCTATTGGAGAGCAAGGTTACGAGATCAGATAGTTAACAGTTATGTCTTCTCTTTTTTCTGCCCCTTTAAGTGGTAACTTTATGCAACATTGATTGACCAACTTCCGCTTAGGAATTTACGAAATTAGTTCTATAGTCCCATAACACACAACTGTGCGGTGAGATGTTAGATTTGTCACAATAAAATGTCCTTTATACTAGGAAGTTTTTTTAAAAAGAAATAGTGATTATAAGCATAGGATACATTAAATTGTCCACGATATCCATTTAAAGCGCCTATTATGATGATAAAGCACCATAACGATGTCAAGCACTGAAATTAGCAGATCCATGTAATGACTATTAGAAATCACAGAGATTTCTGGAAAACGCTGATATCTATACAGAGCTCCACATTTACATAAAAGGATGATAGGTTCAGACTATCACAGGAGAGGTAAAGATTAGTTTAGGGCTTTTCACAATTACAGTTTCACGTAGGAACGAAAAGTTTCATACTTAAATATATAAAAGATATTAGTACAGTTGCAAACATAGATACAGAAATATATTGTCAATTAATGTAATGAATGAGCTTGATTATTATCGTAAAGCGTGTCGACTTTAGAGGTAATCGTGCTCAATTTCAATTTTAATTCTGATTCAGCATCAAGTCCATTTCTGTGTCGCGTTTTTGTTATGATCACATAAATCTTGTCGCGAACTCCCTAAAAAAACCGTGGGTTAGGTTATGGATAGGAAAATAATCTTAGCCCCTGATCGTTTTATGTGCCTATACAAAGTAAACCTTCTTCTCACTTTTAGTGTTTTCCGTCAATATCAATACTAACTAGACATTACAGGTATCTACAGATTTCATCGTCACGTTTGATATAAATGATATCAATTTAATTACGAATTAGAACTGATATTTTTTGGGAATTAAATTAATCTAAAAATGGTATCATAACAGTTTTCCGTAATTTTGTCTTTTTTGTTAGTTTTAAATGTGTATATATTGGATGAAGAATTATCTATACTTATAATATTTTATTTTATGCTGTTCTGAAAATGTTAATAATATTGAAGATGTTTCTACCAAAAGGTGGAACTTTTCGTTTCTTCGGTCTGGTCCAAACTTCAACAACGTCTTCCAGAGACATGTTCCAGTGTTTATCAAACATAGTAACAAATGCTGTAATATATCCCCGAATGCCATGACTATGACGTGTCCAAATCTGCAATAATATAGAAAATATTATATTAGTAAACAGTAACCACTTCCTGTTTAAGAAATTAATCATTATCATAAGGTCCCCAGCCCTAAAACTGGTTGGACACGCACCTCCACTCCTTCCTATCCCGAGCTAATCTTCCCATTTCCTTAAAACCAGAACAACCCACATCCTTAACTATTTACGAACAGTAATCTAATCTAGGTCTACCTCTACGCCTCTTAATTTCCGTTTCTGCCTCTAATATATTTCATTCCTGAGAAAGTGTCCTACTAACCTATTTCGCCTATTTCTTATTGACTTCCATAGAGTGCTCTGTTCTCCTACTCTTTCTAATACCTCTTCATTTTTAACCTTCTCTATCCACGGCATCCTCATGGATACAAAATTACATCTATTTTATCTTTATTTTTAAAAAGAGTCACGTAACATTTCTTGCATAACCATAATGTATTGTACGGTATCCTCATCATTCACCTGTAACACATTTCGAACGCTTCTAACTTTTTCTTTTCCGCCGAGCCCACTGTCCATGTTTCGCACCCGTACAACGCCGTTCTCCAAACATACAACTTTAACAACCTTTTTCTAATTTCTAAATTAACTGTTCGCGAGCATAATAAGAGAAATAAATTGCTTTTCTTAGGCGTTACAGTTGCAAGCATATACCATCGAATATTTTATATATCTCGCTTTTCTCTCTCCTTCTTATTTATTAAAGAGATAAAAACTATCCTATTTAGATCTTTATTAATTTGTAATATCAACATTTTGAATATTTCTTTTATAATCGTAAGAATAATAAGGTATCTATTTCAAATGTTATTTACATTTTTACAACTTGTGCTATTTTTATTTCCAATTTACATTGCAAATTATTGTAAATAATTTTTTGCGTGAGAAAATTTATTTGTTGTTTGAAAACGTTTTAGACGAAATATTCGGAATGTTTTGCCAAATATTCAAATATGCGATTATAATGATAATGACTAATCGCAAATTAAAAACATCTACAAATTGGGCACAGTAACATACTAACGGAGTAGCTGTACATAATTCAAAGGGTCTACTCTATAGTCTATAGATACGACATACATATATTGTTGAATTTTCACTGATCCTTAAAAGAAAATAAATAAATATTCCGTAGCGTCTGTAGTCTGATAAATAATAATTAATAACAAAAATAAACATTTACTGTAATATAACTGCAAAAAAAAAAATTATTAGTATTTTGGTGAAATCACCCAAATTTAAAATGTGTGTATTTTTAGGATCAATGTCGGAAATAAGGCTTTGCATTTGTTCATAAAAGTAAAATTACAATTTCTGCTTTTGTTCATAATTTTTAATGGAATTGTAATCCATTGATAAATAGATTTGCCAGTATATTGCCCATATGCCAGAAAAAAAACAGAAAGATGGAATGAAACTTTCAATTTTATTATCAATGAAATGGGTCGTAATTCCACAGTACTCATTCGTATTATTTTATACTGCATTTCTTTAGGAAATGTTTTCATTGCCCACGATTTCATAATTACATAAATAAAATAATTCATGTGATAATATCAATTAGGGCTGATTTCAAGTAATATCAAGTGCTTCACATCAAGTCAAGAAGTAACGATGGTCAAGTCAAGCAATTTGCAAAAACGAATCATTATACAAGAATTAAGCTAATGAATAATTTTCATGATTTTATAAAATTATATGTATTAATTTTCATAAAAGTTTCCTTTAGCATAACAAGAGAAATGTCCAAAGAAGAATATTATCGTTAGATCTTTCACATGTATAAAATTGCTACAAGTACAACTATGTTCGTGCAGTTTTAAAGAAAAACAGTGAAAAGAACACCCCGTATTTATTTATCTTTACATTTGATCTAAGGAAACTGTGCGTGTAGGCTGCTAATATAGGTAACACATATCTATGACCATCAGTTCTTGGTACACTTGTTGACCATCAACTCCGGATTTCGCTTATGCGTATCGTATCTATACTGATGTCGTTCGAGGGGTATCCACAACTGTGTATTGCTGTACCTTGCGCACACGTAAACGTTATTGTTATTGCAGATAAATAGGATAGAAGCAGGACTGTGTCGTTGAATTTATACGCAAATAATGTGTGTATGTCTACAATGTCCTTTACATTAGATAGGAGAGGCAATCGGCAACTACTACTGACTAACTTAACAGGCAGCAACCTTGTCACTCGACCTCGTCAAGACCTCGGATCAAGGTTCGCGAAGGCTAACTTACAACAACTTCACTATAATATTAAATACAACTACTGCCGCAATATTTGTACTGTACATTAATGCATATACGTATGTATGTATGTATGTGATGATTTCTATTATGCACAACAATACACGTACGTACCAATACGCACACATTCACCTACGTACATGCATATATATGTTATTAATTTTGAGATCTCCGATTTAATTTTTATCTGAAGTAGTTATTCACTAATTTTGGCAAAACATGTGCCATCGGCAATTGACGACTACCGCATACTCCAATTCAGTTTTAATTAATTTATTCTGTATTTATGGAATGTAACAAAGTTATGGAAAGAATATGCAGAACCTTTAATCAACTGCATCCTCTTTTAGCTTCCATAAATAAGCGAAAATTTGGCAGAATTTCCACTTTCACTTTCTCTTTCTCTTTTTCACTTTGTTGTTCGTACTTGTAAATTCACAATTTTAGTACAGCTTATGATGTCCCAATAAAAGAAAACACGAACCGACTTCGAAAATCATGTCTGCTTTCAGGTTGACTCTCAAGTTGACTTATGTCAGAATCGACCCGAGCTATCAAACACCGATTAACGAAATCGATTGATCATCTCTAAAATAAACTCATGATCTTCAATTTTTTAATTGCCAAAATTATATTTGACATTTGATCATTAAAAAATTACAACTTTTGGAGTTATAGATATGTCTTTTTAGATCGCTGACAATAATTGTAGCGTGAAATAGAAGTTGCGCGTACACAGCTCGGTCAAAAATGTCTCCCAGATCGCAACTCACTGACACTTACCATTGAGCAGGCGAAAGTTCAGGAAGTAACTTCCAAAGACAACGGCTAAAAGCCCAAAAACAAATGAGTAACATGTAGTAGATAGATTTGTTAAAGAACAGAAATTAACTGACGATTAAAACAGTTGATAAAAACAATGACACTATACTAAATAACCTTCTTACGATATTCGTTCGTAGAATCTGAATTTAATATCACCATTCTTTCTTCTCTGGGTAAATGAGAAATGAGACATAACTCAAGAAATCAAATGTAGAGTAGAACAAGCAGAAACATAATTTAAGAATATACAAAAAATGTTCACCACCAGAGCTTTAAGAATTTCCTTAAGAATGCGCTTATTACGTTGCTACGGAATAGAAGCATGGACCCTCACTGAAGCAATATGTACGTAAGTGCATTAAGGCCTTCTAAATGTAGGCCTACCGATGAACGTTGAGGGTATCATGGATGGATAAAGAGACGACTGAAAAGGGCGGAGGGTTCTACAGCGTATGAAAAAGGAAAGAAAGGTACTCAATATCTTAAATAGAAAAAAACCGGGTACTTTCCTCACGTAATGAGAAATCCGAAATATGAATTGCCCCATATTGTTATACAGGGGAAAATAGAGGAAAAGCTGGTAATCCTTGTCTCCGAAGAACATCTTCGCAAATGGTATGGAATGAGCACCACGCCACGACACTGTTTAGATCCTCTGCGGACAAACTGAAGATCATGCGACTGATCGTCAATATTCTGAGAAAACGCACTTGAAAAAAAAAAAGATTCTTTTGACTTGTTGATCCTGATTAAATATCAATATTCGCTCGCCATAGAAGTCATACCTTGTACCTAGATAGGTGTCGTAATGGCTGTGGATAAACGCTCAATGAGGAAACGGTATGAAAGAACTCTAACTCACAAATGTCAATGTGTGAAACGTGAGATTAAGATGAGAGAGGGACTTCCATATTAACTTGTGTGAAGTGCACTGTATCAGTTGTTTAAGTTAGGTTATAGTGGAAATGGTTTTCCTAGCTGAAATATACGAATTGCTATGGTCTATAATGGGTTTAGTAATCTAAACTATGGTAAGAATTGAGAGATTGGCATATGGAAAGTGATATGGTCCAAGGGGTTGGATTAGGTTATGGTGCAAATGGTTTCCTAGATTAGCATGTGTGAAACGCTATATTCTACGGGTTTAAGTTTGGTTATGGTGAGAAAGGATACCTTGATTGATGAATGTAAAGTGTTCTTTATCAAAGCTTTAGGTTAGGTTAGGTTATGGAAAGGTTTCCCTAATTAGCATATGTAAAGTACTATGCACCAAGGGCAATGATTAAAATGTAAGTACTATGCACCATCAAAAATGTTACCCAACCATCCAAATTGGACGGGTTGAAGTAGTTGTTTAATTATTTATTATTTTTATTGTTATATATATGTATACCGGCTAAATATATAGACATGTAATTTTTTCTCAAATGCAGTAACCGAAAATGAATAAGATATTTAAAAAAAACTCTGAATGGGCGTTATTATTCGCGCCTAGTTAGTTACACAATAAGCGGTAATAACCTACAGGAAAGTGTTATTGACAACCACAAGAGAAAGTGAAAAGGTTACGTTCGAATATGGAAATCCTCGAATTGATTCAATTTTCTTGTCTTTTACAGAACCCATTCTTTCTTCGCGGTTTGTTGATTACGCGCACTTTTCTTCTTAATTTATAATAGTTACGAATTGTCTACTGCCGTGGGACGAATATTGTGTCCTCTGATTGTATCGTTAATCGTGAGAAAATAAACAGGTTTAGGTTGTCATTTCGAACACTGTATATACATACGTAATATAGATAGGAAGAAAGTGGTATATATCAATAAATGTCAAGGTTACAGGGATTTGTTAGGTAAGTGAATTCAATTACGTTATTAATCAAAAAATTATTAATAATCGTTT